CCCCCCAACCCCCCCCTGCCACTCACCCCTGCCTGGGCAGGCAGCTGCCCACAATGTGCTGTTGTTTCCAGCGCCGGGGACAAAGGCTGTTGTTGTAGGCTAATGCTGGCTCAGTGGTGGCATGTGCCTACGTGGGCTGTTGGAGCTGGGGTGGGGACACGGGGAGGGGGATGAGTCCCCAGGGGGTGTACAAGGAGGTTTCACGCAGCTCCTGGGTGCTGGAGGTTTCTCCACAGCTCCTGTTGCTTCGAGGAGGTACAGGCAGGGTGATGCAGATCCTGGCCCGTGGTATGGGGGGTGGAGGGGTGGTGGGGCCAGGGGGGCTTACCTGGGACCAGGGTGGGGGGTGGCCAGGGGGCAGGAGGGAGTGTTGGGGGGCTTGGCTGTGGGACATGGTTTGCTATCCAACAGTGCCATGGTGGGTGTCCGGGGGCTGGAAATATTCAGGGATATGAAAAGGCTGATGTAAAACCACCACCTGGATTGGTCAAACAACATCAGGGGCTAAATCTGCATTTTATAGCTAGCAAAAGGGTTCTGGTCTTTCCTCAGCTACGACTGGAATATTTTTGGTTAAAAGCAGTGATGTGGCTGTTTATAGCTTAACATGCTGCTGTGGACTTGCTTTTGGGTGGAGATCACTTAAATCTGTTTGGAAGCGAAATCTGGTATAAAGCAAAACAAGTCACTTGATGGTGAAGCCTCTATCCCCACCTGAGAGTGTGGTCCTCTGCCTCAGTAAGCTGTGTGAGCTGGGCTGTGTTTTGGGAGAGGGATCTCAGCAAGGGAGAAGTTTTATTTCTTGTCTGCTAAATCTGTTCTTCCCATTGTCTTCAGGGAAAGGGAGTAGAGAGGGTCCTGATGCTGAGCTCTCCACCAGCAGACCTCACATGGCCATATAAGCCTCTACATCCTTTTCTTTCTTACTTTCGTATTATTAGGTTTTAGTCATAAGGAGCATAATTCCTGTGGATGCTGCAGGTCTTGGTAGGAGAAAAGGCCAAACTGAGGTGCAGAGAGTACCCACAATTTTCTATATTGTGGTAGTGACCACTGCACCTCCCACTGTGCCATCCCATCCTGGGAAACCTCCAGCCACCTCTTGCTTGTTCAGCTCAGTCCCCCAAACCATTTTCTTGGTTTCTAATCCCTGCAGTTCAGCAAGCAGAGCAGAAGCATGAGCAGGCTGGGCTTGCTGCCCCAGGCCCCCAGCCCCCTCCAGCTGCAGTGCCCACTGGCAGGTCCTGCTGTCAGGCCCCATTTTTCCACCGAATCAGAGAAGTTTAAATCATCTGCTCGGGTCTCTGGGCAGCCAGTGAGCCCCTCTTCTCTCTGGAGGAGAGCAGGAATCTCCCACTGCATCCCTGGCTTGCCCGTCCATCAGGCAGCAGCACGACAAGGATGCAGGAAAGCATCTCCTCCTGCCCTGGGCAGGAGCACGAAGTAGGTAGGGCTCAAAGCAAATGAAAAAAGCAGATGCAAACGCCCTCTGGGTACGCCCGGTGCCGGCTGACACCCCTCAGCCACTTCCACTCAGGTTTTAAAGATGCTGAAGCCTCAATCCGATCCTGCTGCTTTTTTTTTCCTTGTCCTGCCCCAACACCCCCGGCCCCGCCGCGGCCACTCGCCGGGGTCCCCGCGGAGCCAGGAGCTGGGTTGCCACAGGGGCCGGGAACACGGCTAAATCCCTGCCTGCCCAGCCGCCTGTCCCGGCACCGCACCTGCCCCCACCAGGGACCCGGCCCCAGAGCTGGAGAGGTACGTGGAGTTTGGGAAGGACGGAGGGTGAGGGAGTGTTTCCTGGTGGGTGGCAGAGCTCTCTGTGCCCTGCACATGCAGTCTGTAATGCAACCTGCTCTGCTTGTGGAGGGGAAAGCTTTAACCTTGCTTTCTGCCAGCTCAGACTCAGCCAGCAGCTGCCCCCCCAGCATCCCGCTCCCTGACAGTCACCTCTTCCATCCTGCTGTTGGGTCTTAGGATGGGCAGCATCAGCCCAAAGTACTGCAGCCTGTTTTAAGCCAGGTTTTAGAGGGAGCTTGTTTGTCCCCAGCAATGAGTAAGCCTCTGTCACCTTCCAGCACAAAGTGTTAACTAAGCTTAGAAACTGCCTGGGGATAAATGGGAAAAGAAATGGTGGAAGAGTTATCCTGGCATCACCCATCCTCATGAATACTTGTGCAAAATCTGTGCAGGCCACCTGGCAGATCTCCTGGGATGGCTGGAAGCATTTGACCAGTCAGAAATGGCATTTGTGTCCCCAGACCCTGACAGCTGTTCCTCTCTGCACAGGGGAAGCCACAATACCCCTCTGCATTTTACTGGGATATTTTGAAAGCCATTTTGCTTGGTTTAGCCAGCTGAGAGGACAAAATCATGCTCTGTTTTGACAGGCAAAGAGGGACAAGGTCAGAGGGTTGAGTGGAAACTGGAGGGACTGGCCTGCAGCCAAGCTGGAGCTTATGGAGGTGGGCTGAGCTCAGGCTTGTTTGCTGAATTTCTGAGAGGTGTTTCCTGGGGAGAGGTGAGGTCAAGGGGGTGGAACATGCCTCGTGGGAGCCAGGTGTGTGACTTTGGTGGTGAGCTCAGATGAGCTCAACTGGTCTTGCAGGACTCTGGCTGTACACCAGTGTCTCTGAGACTTGTGGCTACCTTAGTCTTTTCTTGCCTTGATCAACCAAACCACATTTCCTTGCTGCCTGCTAGCACCGTCATTGCATAGTTCATCTCAATGTCCTACCACAAGACTCCCCTTTTCCTTGTCCACCTCCTGGCTTGTTTCTTACTAATGCAGGAGTTCTGTCCCTGGCTGAGGGGACTCAGCTGCTTACTGCCATTGCAGACCACTTGTCATGAATCACTTTCTAATGGCAAAGTTTTGGGAGCAGCAAAGTGTCTAAACCCATGTTACCCAGGAGTATCATACCTAAGTTTTGCTGTGATTCTCGATACTGATGACTGCTCCCATTGCAAAGAGAACTTCACGTGTCTTTGCAGAAGTGAGGTCCTTGGGCTGATTTAATTTCCCACCTTCCTTTGGCACCTCATCTCGATTTTATAGACGAGAAACATTGTCAAAGGAAAATAAAGATGTGACTTCATTGCTGGAAATCTTCACAAAAGCCCCTAAACTAAGGATGAAAACATATTACTGATTGAAAACGTTTATGGTCAAATGACCTCTTTGACTTTTGCACTTTTGAGTCCTGTGTCTTCTGCAAGTTACCAAATGCAACATTTGCAGCCAGGAAAAACAGAAGGATGGAAGACAAACAAACAAATAAACCCCATCAAAAAACCAAGCACAAACATCCCAGAAACTTTAGGCCAAGCAGATCTTTTAGCTTCAAATGCTGAAGCTCACTATAGCCTTTTCCTAATTTCTCTACTATTTTCTCCACTCCATTAATGATCAAAGGTTTTTCAGAGTGGATAATATCAGTTGGTCTAATGCTTTCCACTGTATTGACTGGTTAACAGTTCTCCAGAGGGAGCAAAATCTTCCACAATACATCCCAGACAAGCACTGGTGCAGGTGGCCAGTCCATTGCTTATCCTGAGGGGTTATCACTAAACCAAGAAGTTTTGACTTTCTTCATTTTAGTTAAAGAAAACAAACAGTATTGCTTAACAGGTGAGGAAAACTTGTCCTGGAGTATCTTCCTCTAGCTCTGCATTTTCAATGCAGCTTAAAAAGGGTTCAGGTTCTTCAAATAACTGAAGTGCTATACTTTCCTTACAGGAATAGGTTCCCCAGCAGAAACTTTGAAGCAGAGATTCTGACAGCTCCACAGGATAATTCAGATATTTGGGAGGAAAAAAAGGAGATTAAAAGTAAAATGCCCATTCAGCTTGCTATCGCTATAAACGTTTTAATTCTTTTGGAGTTAGAGATTGTAGTGTTTGGGTTTGTTGGTTTTTTTTAAAAAACAAACAAACAAGAAACAGGATGCTAAAGGGATTGCAACTCAGGTGATTGCAGGTTTATGTTAGGGTACAGTTTGAAGTGTTGAGGCTAGATGTTGATATCTTTATCTCCGGTGTGTCTTCAGACATACCTACTAGATACACAACCACCAGTGAGGTGTGGTTTTGGAAACAGCAGAGGCATCCAGTTTAGGAGTGCACAGTCCTGTATGAGATGTACACAGCTTTCTTATCGGTGGCAACTAAAAGCAGATGACAAGCAGCTTCTCAAAAGGCAAAAATGAGGATGAAGATATTCTGCCAAGTCCTGTCCTTCATCCTCACTCCTTCTAGGAGGAAAAGCTGATATTTTTTTTCTATTGAATGCTGCTTTCCAGTGCTCATGTAACACGTTGAGGCTGGCAGAGTGACTGCCTTCCTGCTGCAGCCCTCTGCCTGAGGTAGACCCCAGAGCCAGCACTCAGATGAATGACATCTTCTCATGAGCCTCAGGTCTTATTCTGATTGTTGCTCCTCAGACCCAAGCAGTTGCCAGAGCTTGTGCCCTGGCAGGAGCACTGTCATTAGGATGAGACAGAAGCAAAATGAGTTTTTGCAATAATTACATGCAACTCCTTGAGTAGCACTGGGTGTTGGTTCAGAGCTAGATTTCTTGGTTTCAGCCACTCACATTTCAGCATGAGCCCCTGTAGATGAAATGCTTTTGCTGTCAGTTGTCTCCTGGCTACAGGCTGCAGTTCCCAGTGGGGAACTCACCTTCCTATGCCAGCAAGAGTCAGAAACCAGGTGCACAGGGTAAACTATTTTGGCTGCAGGTGCAGGTCATAGTTTTTCTGCTGCATCACCCCCAACAGCACATGTGATTTCAGTTACACTGTCCAGCGTGTGTCAGGGTGACAGCCTCTCCAAGTTTGGACCTGCGGTGCCATTCCCTTCACCTTCTTGCCTTGGGTCTTTTCCTTGGGCTGACCTGCAGTAATGAGGCACTTAACAAATACACTGATGTCAAAGGGCATCTAAGAATAATTTTTAAATCCTGAGTGTGAACAGGTTGGAAAGTGTTAACATGAGCTCACCTGCCTGGATGGGCTCCTGGGCCATGTGTGCTCCCTACCATCTTCCCAAATCTCTAAATTCTGTTGGGTTGGGTTTCTTCCATGAGGTGTTTTGATCCTTCATCTGCCTCGGAACCACTAACACACAATTTGTACTTGTTTCTCAAGAGCTCTACATGATCCCATCAATGAGAAGTCTCACAGCTGAGGAGTATGTGGAGGCCTTTAAGTCATTTCTGGATCATTCAACAGAGCACCAGTGTATGGATGAGTTCAACAAGGAAGAAATGCCCAACATCATGGCTAGGTAAGGAACACTTCCACCCATGTGGGAAAGCCATCTGTTTTTTTGGGAGGGCCATCTGCACACAAGGGTCAGAAAACAAGGACTTTCTGGGGCATAAATGAACTTCTAATGCTTTCCAGTTTTAATTCCCTTCCTAGTCATCTTTAGGATATTCTATTTAAAGACTCCAGAATATGTGCTGTTTCAACTGTTACACTGTGCAGCCTCTCAGCTTATGTTAAGGAAAGGAATCAAAACCTCATTTTTGTGTTAATCTCTTTTCATTAGCTGATTTTCCAAGGATTAAAGTATTTTTTTGTTGTTTGGGTTGGCTTTTTTCTTTTTTTCCCAAAAGAAAGCTCTCTCTTGTGCTCTCTCCCTGCTTTTGGGACTTCATCACACATGAATCCAAACAGAAACACATCTCTCATTCTCTTCTAGTGACTAATTCTTATTTTTTTCAATCCCCTAAGACCTCCTTATTTCTATCCTAAGTCGATTTGCATTGCTTAAGTACCAAATGATAATCAGTTTTGTAAAGAATTGATGTAATATATTAAGCCTGGATGACTGCAGATAAGTTTTAGAGCAGCCTTGATCCAAACTGTAAGGAAGATCTTTAAAGTTTAGATAGTTTTTGAATACTGTGGAAACAGTATTCTCCACTGACAAAAAAAATTAGGCAGGCAACTCCAGAACAGATATATAAAAAATAAGCAATAGAAATAAGAAATTAAAAATAAATTGTATTGGGAAATTTTGAATGAAAAATTGTATATGTGAATTTTAAATGATGAAAAACATTGTGGCTTCCTATGGTGTTGATTGTGATTAGAGCTAGAACTCCTTAACTGGCTCATACCCTGCAGGATTTATTACTCTCTCCCTTCTTGTTGAATCATTGCTGCTGTGTCTCCTGAGTCTGTGGATGGGAAACTCCATCCCTAGAGAGCAGAGCAAGGCCATAAAGCAAGTCTGAGCAGTGAGGTGCCTTGAGCCCAGGCTCCTCATCTCATGCCAGGCTCTTACTAAATATTCTGCTAGGAACCACAAGGTGGATGGGTTAGGTTTTTTTATCTTTTCAGAACTAATTTTTCCAAGGTAAGAATTATTGCAGGTTTTGACCTTTCTCTCCCAGTTTGAAACCAAAACCAACATTGAACAGAAAGGATTTCCAGTCGTCTGGATAGTATCCTGATTTTTTTTTATTTTTCTGGGCACTTCTATCCAACATTGGAAACCCAAACATGTCTCCTGAGGGTGCAGAGGTTTGTCCTGGCTCACTTTGTCCCTCAGCCCTCTGGGAAGCAGTGCCTGGCCCACCCAGGCATAGCCCTGCTGCACCCAAAGGGCATCCTTCACCCTGGGGTTCCCAGGGCCTTTTTGCACAGCCCCAGCCACAGCCTGAAGAAAACTCGCTGGCAAAGGATAAGAAACACTCTATCCTGATTCCCTTCTGTGTTTTGAAATACGAACTTGCTGATTTAGGGCTCCCACCACACCAAAGGGATGCTCAGATTTCTATCCCCATTCATATGGCAAAACTCAGTTAAATTTCCAGGCCCATGTGACATCCAAGGTATTAGAATTACAACACAAAGTTGTGTGACATTGTGTCGTGCAGTAACATGTAATTATCATTGCAGTCTTGGCAACGGAAAATCAACTATCAGCATTCTGGGAGTTGGAAGTGGCACAGGTAAGGAGCTTGGCAGCACCACGGGTGCTGAGGGATTGGGGGCTCCCATAGGTAGCAGAAAGTGGTACTGGAATTTTGAGCAATGTTGATAACTACTCAGGAATTAATTACAGTGGTTCTCACTGAAGCAGAGGATGGCAAAATGGGGTGTGGAGCTGGGATTAGAGCAATGCTCCCTCCCTTCCTTCCCCACCACCCTTCTGATATGCCCAGCAGAGAAAGATCTGTTGGTGTTGTTCAGCAGCAGCTGAACATGAGCCAGCAGTGTGGCCATGAAGGCCAGCAGCATCCTGGCTTGTATCAGCAACAGTGTGGCCAGCAGGACTAGTGAAGTGGTTGCCCCCCCTGTAGGCAGCACTGGTGAGGCCACACCGAGGTACAGCAGTGTGCAAAAGCCAAGAAGCTGGCAAAGGGTCTGAAGCACAAGTCCTCTGAGGAACGGATAACGGAACTGGAGTTGTTTAGGCTGGAGAAAAGGAGGCTCAGGGGAGACCTTCCTGCTCTCTACAACTGCCTGAAAGGAGATTGTAGAAGGGGGTGTGTGTGTGTTGATTTCTTCTCACAAGTAATGAGCGACAGGACAAGAGGTAATGGCCTCAAGTTGTGCCAGGGGAGCTTTAGAGTGGATATTAGGAGACATTTCTTTACTGAAAGGGTTGTCAGGCACTGGAACAGGCTGCCCAGGGCAGTGGTGGAGTCACCATCTTTGGAGGTTTTTAAAAGATGTGTAGATGTGGTGCTTGGGGACAGGGTTTAGTGGTGGCCTTGGCTGAGCTGGGTTAATGCTTCGACTCTATGATCTTAAAGGTCTTTTCCAACCTAAACAATTCTATGGTTCTATGCTGTTGCACAAATCTGTCCAAGAAATCAGATGAGTGCAATGATTTTAGCTTAGCCGGTGCCTCTTGATGACTCTCACCTGACTGTATATGCCTCAAAGCAAGGAGCCCTGCTCCAAGTTAGGTACAAGAACATCTTCAAATCTTGTTGGGGAGGGTGAGACACATCTGAGATGTCGGTTCCACCCAAAGTCCTGTCTTGGGCTATCCCACCAGAAGGGATCACTCTGTTGGCTTTGCATTTAGGAACCCCAGAGGCCAAAGCTGGGCAATGCTCTGCTCCAGGTGGTGCAAAACCAACTGGCCACAACCACTAACATGGGCCTGCATCAACTTTTTCAGGATTTGTCTGTTTGTTGCTACTCTGTTTTTATCCATTGATAAGTAGGGTTTAACTGCAAATGATATTTCTCCCCAGAGAGAAACACATCTCTTGGAAAAAGCAGCTTTAAAGCTTTTCTAAATGCATTTGTGTATATTAAAAAAAAAAAAAAAAAAAAAGGTAATAAAGCATCCAGCTTTCCACTGAGGGAAACTGGGGAAAAGTAAAAAGTGGAGAAAAGAAGTGGCAGTTTGATTTGTCAGAGTTTGCTTTTGCTTTAAACATATTTTCAGCTGAATTTTAAGTGGCAATACTTTTAAATGAAAGTATTTTTCTAACTTTTTTTTTTGCTTGTTTTCCTGAGTGAGAGAAAAATAGCGTTGAATTGTTTTTCCCACTTGGGAATATGCTGGAGCATATGAGAAAGCAAGGAGGAAGAAATAACTCAGTTCTCAATTACATTCCTTTTTCATTAATATAAAACTGAAATTCTCACTTCAAGAAAACACAAGGGAAAAATTAACTTTTTGTGTGGTCCTCATTTTTCCTTATTTCTTCTTCAGAAGATGTTTTAATGGAGAAAAATAAACCCCGTAAGATTTCCTGGCTTTCCCAGGTAGCTGCCCCTCACAGACTCCCAGCCCCTCAGCTTCCCTGTGGCTGCAAGAGCTGAGCTTCTGCAACCAGGCAGGGAGTGAGCCAGGGTGGGATCCAGCAAAAGGTTATATCTGATCCCTGACCTTTCCAGGCTTGGACTTGGGTTTCACAGAGCCCTCAGAACTAGTTTAGTTGACGAAAATATGAATTGAGATTAGTGACCTACTTCACATCCTAAAAGGCTGCTGGCTCATCCAGATCATGTTCTCTCATTCACCCCATGTTTTCCTGTGTCTAGTTAAACTATCTTGGCTGTAACCTCCCAGTTAGTGCCAGGGAGGGCTGCTGTTTGCAGGGGGGTTTCACTTTTATGATACCTATTTGTTGTTGATATACCCAAGGAGTAAAACAAACAAACAAACCAAACCTCAACAAAACACAAACCAGTAACAAACTGCTTTTTAGATACCCATTTGCTGTTGATACACCCATTTGCTGCCAGGGCACACAGCAGACAGGGACCTGCCCTGAGCCAGAGGGGAGCCCATGTCAGCCTGCTTGCTGGTGCTCCCCCCCACCTCTGGCACATCCTAACTGGCATTTAGGACTATCTAAAATGATTCAGCTGCTTGCTGTAGGGATCTTCCTTCCAGTAATATGGGTCTACACACCCACCTTCAATGGATGAAGCCATACCCTCTTTCCTCGTGCCTTTGGCCAGCCCTGCGCTGCTGCCACTGCATTCCTCAGGGGCTTGGGTGTTTCCAATTTCAAAAGGCCTGTCCTTCCTTGGATGTCCCTGTAGTGCTGGCACAAGTGATATTTCCCTCCTTGAATTCTATTTACTGCTACACCTGCCAAAGATGACAACTTTTCTCATAGCTGGTACATCAGCTGAAAGGCTGGGGAAGATGCCGTATCTCATATCAAGCCCTCTGTGTGTGACGTTCACAAGGGTAGGACTATTTTTAGGCCCCAGCCTCGGCTACAGACAGGATTCTTGTGGAGCTTCACTCAAGGTGGTCACCTCTGCTGTTTATTTCAGAGAATCAAAGACTCACAGAATAGTTTGGGTTGGAAGGGACCTTAGAGCTCATCTAGTTCCACACCCCCTGCATGGGCAGGGGCCTCTCCCACTAGACCAGCTTGCTCAAAATTTCATAGTCCCAGATGAACCAGATGGACTTTGTACACTTGGTGTACCATGGCCTTTCTGGGATATGAGAATGACCTGCACTACCTCCAAAGAGACTGGAAATTTCCTAGGACAGAAGGACAGACTGCTGCTTGCACTTCCAGAGCTTAGACAGCAACAGAGGAGAACCAATAGCTAAATTTGCAGGGCACCTACACACTAATATATGACTATTTGCAACTCAAAGGTAACAACTTGGAGTCTAGAGCTGAAACCCTGTGGCTGGTCCCCAAGGAAGGATGATGCAGGGTACTGCATGCCAGTGGGTCTTCTCTTGCTATGCAGCTCTCCGGAGCTGTGTCACACCAGGGCAGAGCAGCCATCACCTCCCTGGGGCAGTGCCAAAGGCACGGACCACCCTGTGCTGTGCTGGAGTTACACAGCTGTGCCCACTGCCTCCTTACCACTGCTTAAACTTTATGGTTTTGTTGAAGACTGACAACATGAAAATCTGGTTGCTTTTTAAAACACCAATCTTTGGTTATTTTGACCTGTTTGTCCCATGACCCAACATATTGCAAGGTCTCTGTGCTGTTGCTTAACTCTCCCTAGTTCTTGTCTTATCTGTAACTATTTGTTATCTTGAACAGTGAGATACCATCTCAGGCTATCCAGGGTTAGATGCCACCAACAAGCTGTAAGGCAGAGAGTGCCTCACTTCTGCTGGGGAGGTTTCCCAGCAGCAGAGGTGGCAGATGCACTGGCATCCTTTTGATCACATTGATGTGCTTTTTGGAGTAATCCACTTGTGTTTATTGACTAGGTGAGCAGGATTTGAAAATGATCAGGATACTGCAGGCTGCACACCCAGGAGTCCTTATCGACAATGAAATTGTGGAGCCCAACCCCCAGCATGTGGCAGCTTACAAAGGTACAGCTACCCCTGCTGCCTGGCACGTAGCCAGGATCAGTGACTTGAATAGTTTGTGAAACCTGTGTTTTTCTTCTACTTTTTAAAACAGAGTTAGTGAACCAAGCTCCAGACCTGCAGAATGTCTCTTTCGTTTGGCACCAGCTCACTTGCTCGGAGTACGAACAACAAATGAAAGAGAAAGGGGCACATAAGAAATTTGACTTCATCCATATGATCCAGGTAATGGAGTATTTCTTTAATACAGGAGTATTAGCTTTAACTAATCCCTTCACTTCTACTGTATGCATGAACTTAAGAGGACCACAGCTGAGCACAGGTCTCTCATGAGCAATAACTTCTGCAGCAGCTCTATAAACACGAAACCTCATTCCCTATCCACCCTGGCTTTGGTCTCTGGTCTGTACTGGTTTAACTGTGTGTGGTGGGTAATAAAACAGGACAAGTCTCAGACCATCACACATCACACAGAAACCAACAATTATGCTTTGTTGCTGCAAAAACCCTTGAATTTTTTGCCTTATTGGAGCAGTCTGGATGGCACTGAAGGGAAAGGCTAGTGAATGAACACTTGTCTTAGGTTTTTGACTCAGAAATTAGACTGCTATGACTCTGATACCGATGACACTTACGTTGTATGTGCCAATTATATTGTGTAAAAAATCCATTATTCTTGTTTTAGTGGCTTTTATTTCTCTTTTATTTAGTTTCATTTTATTGCACTGTGGAGGGGGAATAACGACCACGTGTAACTGTCCTTTCTAGATGCTGTACCGTGTGGAGGACGTTCCCAATACCATCAAGTTTTTCCACAGCTGCCTCAACCATCATGGTAAACTCCTGATCATAATATTATCAGGTAAGAGGGACCTTTTATTTTTTGCTTCTTTCTAGTGTTTTGTAGAGCTTTGACATTTGAAAGCCACAAATATTTGTCTTGGGATTTCAGCAGCACTTATTCTACAGCAATTCAATAAAATAAATGCTGTACATATTGGGAGCATGCAACTTTGGGCTCAGATAAACTCTTGGCTGCCAGTGTCTGATGGCACCAGTAGGGCATAGACTTCATGCTCTTGCTTCCCTGCTTATAGATTCATTGGTCTGTACATCAAAGAGACCTCCTGCTATGAAATTACTGTCTGGAGAGCAGTGTGGCTATTAATGAATGAAGGTCAAGCTTTCTTCATGGTGAAATGGGCACTGTGAAAACACAACCTGAGCTCTGGGAAGACCCATCTTTGGGGCACTTCCCTCCACACAGCCATGGCCCAGACCCCAGTAGGAAAATGGGAGATTTCAAGAGCTGTGGGCTTTATAGCAGAACAGGAAAAAGGGGCACGTTTTTCCAGCATGCCATTCATGAATCCCCAGTTCATGGTGTGATGGATACAGCACACTTCCCTGTGTTTGCCATTAAAACCCATCTGAAATTACTGGTAGGATGTTTCCCTTGCTAGCTGGAACTGGACTTTTCAGGCATATATTCTTAAAACAGAGGTTCCATGTATAAAAACCTCTGCAGTATTTTAGGAAAGGAGCACTTACTGGATAGGGTATATGTGCAGGCTCAGTGTGTTGGTACCTGTGTACACTCCTTCATCCGGGCAAATCCAGTGCTGGATGCCATCTCCTAGGAGTCTCCTTTAAACAGGAGAGTTTTGGAAGGAGGGCTAATGTAGATCAGAGTTTTAATCCTCTCCAAGCACGAACATTTATAAGGGAAGTCAAATAAGGGGAAAGCTCCTCTCCTGCTCCTGGCAAGGTCTAGGCCAGCAGCAAGGGAGCATTTCTTACCCCATTTAGTAGTTGTATCGGCTGGTGTCTGTCTGCCTTGGCTTTGCAAATGTGACCTTCCCTCCTGCTCTGGCAGACAGTAGCGGATGGGCCAGCTTATGGAAGAAGTACAGAGCCTGCCTGCCTTCCACCGACAGCGGCCACTACATCACCTCCAACAGCATCACGGATGTTCTGAAGAGACTGGGTGTTGAATACCATGTTTATGAGTTCCCGTCGGGCTGGGATATCACCGAGTGCTTTATCGAGGGGGACCCAGTTGGAGGCCACATGATGGATTTCCTGACAGGGACAAAAAACTTCCTGGGCACGGCCCCACTGGGGCTACAGCGGCGGCTGCAGGAGGCCCTCTGCCAGCCCGAGTGCAGCAGCAGGAAGGATGGGAGGATCATCTTCAGCAACAACTTGAGTATGATTGTGGTTGAATCCTAGAGCCAGGACCAACTGCAGGAGACAAGTTAGGATGGATATGGGGGTGATACAGTCCCAGAAGGGTGAAGCATAGGAAGAAAACTCACAGGCAACAAGGCAAGAAAGTGGGGGTTCAGCTGCAGCCCTCTGTTCCCAGCCAGGGTCAGTGGAGCCACCTGTGACACAGGGGATGAGCTGTTTGTACTGCTGAGGTCAACAGGGCCAAGATTTCACCCTGGTTATTTAGTCCAGCCCTAGGAGAACATTTTCCAGAAAGTAAAGAGCTCCATCTCACTAAAAGCCAGCATGGACTTTTTCTTTAACAGTATGCACCATGTCTATGCTTTTACACTGCTATTTCCACTTCACTGCACAGCCAGCAGGTTTACAGACCTACAGCCATGTCTACATGACAGGTGCTGCTTTGCAGCTGGGAGGAGGCTGCAGCCCCTGTGAGGTGTACACTCACTGCTTCCAGCTGTGCCAGGACAACACCAGCAAGGTGTCCCCACTGCTTTGCACCCAAGTAATGTGCTTCCCTGCACCCAGCCCTGAGCTGTAAGCTGCTCTTCACTAGGCTATTTCACATGGTTTTATCAGCGCAAGTATTTACCGACCCAAGTGTCTCGGCATCTTGCAATACAGGCATGTCTTAAAAATTGATAAGCCTTTTTTCTTTGGAGAACTTTTAGTACCCCAGGATTATAACTGTCCTGTGCTCTTTCAGGCAGATATTAATTTCATTATTCTCTTACTACTGTTTTTCTCCATATAAAATAAAAGCACTTTTAAACCAAATGAATCTCATCTTGTCCTGCCCATACAGCACTTGAGCTATCACCCTTCCCTGGAGTTTCCTCAGCAGGGAGAAACATTTCCAGTAAGCAGATACTCAGCAAAACCTGGAAGCACAAAATCTACTCACACCATTGTAAATCAATGCACAAATGCTTATAAGAAAGAAGCACTTCAAAGCAGACAGTTTAGTGACAGCCTCAGGAAATGAAACAGAGCACCCCATTAACAACTCCACTCCTTAATGCGCCCTCTGTAATTTTTCTTTTCATCCTTGGAAAACAAGTAATTTAGCAACGACTCTGCTTGTACACCTGGAACAAATGCTATCCTAAGTGGCTGTTCCATTGATGTATATATTTCTTCTCGGATGAATATCCTATTTTATAACTATTTGTTGTGCTTTTTAAGCCATGCTCTCCTCACACGCAGGATGAGGGGCTCTGCTTTCCAGCAGCCACGAGAGGGCTGCAGCAGCCAGCACAGCCCGGCTGCCTCCCAGAGCCTCCAGATGCTGAGCTGAAGAAGCAGAGCCAAGCAGCTGGGCAGGCAAATGATGCACCAGCTCTGCTTTCTTTACTGGGCCACCATATCCTGATTCCAGCTGTCGGGATCACACTTTTTTTCTGCTGCAGAGTCGTGTTCTTGATGCTGGACTCCAGCTTATAAAAAAGCCACAACTGCACAGGACAGGTGCCAACATGGGCTGCACAAAATTTGCTCTTGGGCTGTTCATTCAACCCCTTCCCCCAGCAGCTGAAGTGCTGCAGCCCAGTTCTCTCTCTGCTCAGGCCAGCAGCTCACCTGGGCTACGGCTGGAGAGGAGGAAACATGAAGAAGGGGATGTCAGGAGCATAAGGTAACGTCTGCTTTAGCTTTGAGCTAAAGTAACCTTTCTGCTCTCAGTCCAGGATGAGCCCTGCTCTGCAATGACTTCATAGAACCATGGAATCACAGAATATCTAATTTAAATCTCCTCTCTTTCAGTTTGAAACTATTACCTCTTATCCTATTACTCTATGCCCTTGTAAAAAGTCCCTCCCCAGGATTCCTGTAGCCCCTTCAGGTACTGGAAGGTGCTCTAAGGCCTCCATGGAGCCTTCTCTTTTCCAGGCTGAACAACCCCAACTTTCTCAGCCTGTCTTCTTAGGAGAGGTGCTCCAGCCCTCTGATCATCTTCATGGCAGTTTCCAGCACTGCAGTTACCTGGCAGCAGGTCCGTGCCATCCCAAGGGAGCTGTGCTGCTCCATCAGCACAACAGCTTCTCGCAGCTCTAAGTGAAGGCTTTTGTGGATAACCATGGAATAAGCTGCCATGAGAGTCCTGGTTAAGTCTCCAAAAGACATCTATGGACCAGTGCATGCTCACTTTGCCATGTGCCAAGCTGCTGGAACACCAGACAGCAAAAACCTGGGAAACTTCTTATTTTGGTATGAACACAATGCCAGGACCACAAGTCCACTCATACTATCTCAGCCGAGAAGCTCCAGGCTGGCCAGTGAGATCACAAAGCAAACAAAAATCTCATTCTGCCACCTATATTAAGTCCTTTCCTGTCTCTAACAGCACCTTATCAATGCAAATGTTCCTTGCAATCAGTCCTACAACAGGAAAGTAAACAAACTGACAACTTATCCCTCTAATACAAACAAGTTCATGGAATCAGTCTGGCATGGGAGCCAGGACTGCAGCCTGGACACCCGTAGGAGGAGGTTGTGGCCCAGCCCTCCCGCACCGTGTTACTTAATGCTGCTGGATTTAGCTAAAGCAGCTCACACAAAAGGCAGAAAATGTATTGTTCATACATCCCCTCCCCCCCTTTAATTTCTTGTTAAAAAAAATAAAGCTAAAATCTCTCCAAGATAAATGTTTGAAGAGCACAAGCTACAGCTGGAAAGATTTTGGGTCTGAAGAAGGTTTGCAGAACATGTGAGATGGTTGGATCCCAGCAGGGCTTTACTTCTCGCTTCTGAGAAGGAACAGGGAAGAGCAGAACAGTATTTATTTCCACTAGTCACTTCCTAATAGTCTGATGACACTTTTGGTTAGATCTGCCAGCAGGTTTGTAGAGAAAACATATGTTTTGTCAAAGACAGCAATGGTGGTATCTCTGGAGAATTTAGAAATGTGATAAAGAAAATTTCAGCGCAGCCTGTAGGTCCCTATTGCTTTGTTAACATTTTTTGCATCCTATTAATCACTCTGTATGTATCTGTCAACTGCTGATATTACGGATTAAGAAAGATTATAGTTTATTGCTCCAGTGGCTGTTTTCTTTAGGTTTTAACTCTATGGGCACTTTGGCATTGACTCCACTAGGACAAGACTGAGCCCCTCACTTTTATGAGGGGCTTCACAAAGCTTTTCTGACTCAGAGTGGTTTTCCTTTATAAGGTACCTAAATGATCATCCAGAGGGTAAATGTTTTGATTTTATTATTTCTGGAAGAAGGGCTAAAGTATTTCTGTGCTGTACAAACAGTCCAAGAGAGCTGGATTTGCAGATGTTTTCATGTAGATAAATGTTGACTTTGGTTTGCCATGCTTGTACAGCTTATGCCATTTGTTATTTGGGAAAAGGGGTTGGTATTGAAGGAAATGCAGATAAAAGTTCTACAGTTTCAATACATTTAATTATAGACTTTCTTCATTATTTACTATCAACTACAGGTTATTCTCCAGTTTCACACATTGGTTATCCAGTCTGGGATGCAAAGAAATCCCCTCAGAGCAGCAATAATTAACACTGGAGAATCAAAAAAACTCAACTGAGAATCTAATCTGAGAATCTTCAGTCTAAAAATTATTCATTTAAACACTCCCTTCGTGCCAGGACTTGTTTTTAAATGTTCTTAAAAATATGAATGACAAAAATGATAAATTTCAGCCTAGACACTCTTCCTGAGCTTACTTCATTCTTACATCTCCCCTCCAAGGTCTCACCTCCCAGCTCCCTTCTCCATCCTCCCCTCCTTGGCCTTATCTCAAGGCAGAAAAAATCAAGGAAAACGTTCCTCCTGCACTCAAGTGACACAGGGTCCTGCCCAACCTCCACTGTGACTCACTCACAATTCCTGCCAAATGTTAATGCAGTTTTTTTATTTTTTTATTTTTTTTGCTTCAGAGCCTAAGGTGACACGAAACAAATGACCTGTGCTCATCTGGGTGTTTTACTGGGAGAGTCTCAGCCGATTACAGATGCCTTAAAACAACCAGCACTGCCAGAGCGTGTCTTCACTGCACTGTGCATACATTATTCTTGAGCCACTGATTAATGTTTATTAATATTTCTGATGTTTTTCAAATATTAAACTAATGACATTAATATAACCTATAGTACAAAGCCAGGTAAAGGTAAAAATGGAAGAGCAAACTTCTTGCTTTCTTTTTTGTCTGGGTGAGCTGTATTTTGGGTACACGTAGGGGAGCAGCACCCCCAGCAAATATGGTCCCCAAATTAATTCTGATTCTGGTGGGAGTTTAAATAAATCTTCCAAGTCCATCACTCAAGAACAAATTCCTTTTGAACATAATCAGGATTTCTACTGGTTCTGGTATCTTGTTTCTTTATGCATCACAACAGTCCCTGAGAAATGTAAGAATATATGAAATTTTACTCAGGTTCAGACAAAACTTCGCCTTGACCGCAATCATGTCCTGGCTAGAGAAGGCAGGAAAGAAACAGGGAATAGAGAAAATAGTCTTTCTTCCGTGACATCTTTTTTTTCCTTCCCCCATCCTCCTCTGCCATTTGGCAACCTGCTGGTCAGGGACCTGCTGCACAAAAGGCTGCAACCAGGTAATCAAACCTCCTCCTTGCCTTCCCTCACTAATTTGCCTAATTTCTTTCCAGATGTTTTGCAAAGGTGGGCAACAAATAAATCCATTTCAAGTGCATCTCCATAGTCACTTAGTATCTTGGTGAAAAAACCTCTCCTGTTTTTTAATTCCCTCTAACACAGGGACCATCTGGCCTCTACAAACATGACAGCTCAGCTCTGCTCTTCATTTCAGGGCTGCTATGAACTGGATGACACCTGCTTTGTCATAGAGTCATCAGCCCCTTGGAGTTGTGAGGTGGTAAGAGCAGGGTGAGGAAGAGGAAACCAGCAAAGAAACTACCCTTACCAGCCCCAGTGCTGATGGTCTAGGGATGAAAAGTGGGCACTGGAAGCTGACCAGGAGATGCTCCCTAATGTTGTAAAGGGAAGAGATAGAAGAAAAGT